AGACATAAAATTAATAATACACAGAGCTGGTGTGATACCCTTGAGTTTGGCCAAGAACTCAATAAAAAGATATAAAATGAGATACATACGAGGAGTACGTGAATCTTATTACAAGAGATGATATGATATCGAGTAGAGAACCTTCAGAAGGTAATTTTATTTTAACCGATGATGAAAGTGCTAATGGAATTTTGATTGAATTTGCTTTCTTATTAAACGCCATCGACGCTTCAATAGTGATTTTCTATTCTATCAATGCTTTATTAGCCGAAGCTTTGAGGATAGCTCCTAAACAGTATTCTCTGGAAAAATATTGATGTACCAGAATGTGATATTACATAGTGATTGGAAAACTTACATAGTTACTCACTCGTTTCTTCTGTCCTTTCTCAGTTAGACCAAGACTTACCTAAAAACAAAACAAAAAAGTCAATGAGGTACTGGAGCTTTGAGAACGGGTATAAGTATTTGTAAAGATATCATATCAGTATTTATAATTGAAACATTGTAACGTATAATAGGTATGTTAAATAAATGCGTTGGGTAACCCAGATTCTGTTTTTAAAAGTTCGTCGCATGTTGCACACATGCTAAATATTTTTGTCATATTCTGGGAAATTACATGTCATATAAGACGTTTAGATGTTTTGTTCAAATTATTGTCATCCATATGGTGGTGATGAGATCAGACAAGATGGATGCAATATGAAATTAATTATTAACGGAAACAATTTAAAAATGAAATCATTTAGATTGACTCGTTACTATCTAGTCAATAAGGATGAGCTTAGCTACATTTTATATTACTTATTTTGTGAAGTTTGAGCATGTTAGTATAGTTCGGATATATAATATAATCAAACCATTTTAATAGCAACACATCAACTGGCAATATGAAACTATAAAACGTTAAAAAGTTAGATGCAATTCTCCTTTTAGTTCATGAAATATTTATTAGTCTGGGAAACTTACTTGGGTGTTCAGTATAGAAAGTCGATTTCTTTGCTGTTAACGCGTTGCATTTCAAAAATTTTCGCTTCGCTAGTGCCTGGACAACTGTAACTCTATATGTGTGTTATGACCTATAACTCGAAATGACTCAAACAACGGTTGATTCAGTGATGAACGATGTAATATCAAAATATATTTTTTTGTTTCACCGCGTTCCAAAGCATTAATAATGCTGAAACACAACTTATACTTCCTTTTTTTCGATAGAAACTACCACCTATCTGGTATTTTGAATTACTTTTAATTGAGCAATTTCTGGGAATCGATATTCCTGAAACGTACCAAGGTAAAAAACCGCCAACCAGCGACCGGCATCGAATGTTGAATGTCTGTATGGCCGTCATGCCATATCATGCTACCAGCCCAATTAAAAATTCTATTACGTATGCGACCCGTTCGATTATCAATTCAATTTCCACTACCTGTCCACCGGTTGTAATTACTACCAAGGTACTTTTAGGTCTAATAACAGCTGGTTAGCAGGGGGATCGAACAACGGAACCAAAAAACTTTGCTGCTCTATTATGTTCCTGGTATACAGCCGACTTATTGACGTAGATAGAGATTCTATACTTCTTAGGACTTACTAACTCAGAAATTAATTGAAAAGGGTACTATAAAATTTTTGCAATATGACTTAACAAACGGACGCAGGAGGATGCATGCTACTGCATGGTGAGACATGTCCATGAGTGCATAGTAGCAGTCAGCAGCACATCTGTTGATTTAGTTGTTCATTTGTATTGACAGTGTAAAGTGCGAACTATGTCATCGTGGTCACGTAGTGAGATAAGGGCAGTTTATCTTTACCCGTGGTTTAAGCATAGACCAGTGCTTAGAAGAAATGACGCTTGCATTGAAGAATAATTGTCCTCATCGTACGACTATATTAAGGTGGTAAGGGGCAATCTCACTCTGGAGAACGCTGAGAGGGAAGGAAGGCCGCGACAGTGAGTAACAGAGGAAAACGTTACTGCTGTGTGGAAAATGCTTAACGAAGACCGGAGAATGACATACCAACTCGTGAATTCTATATGATATACATATATTGTCAGAGTCAAAATAGAAGTCAGACTCAATTTTAAATAGTGAATGCCACAGTTTCTGTATCTTTTTATAAATTCGAAATAATTATATCTTACAGGTAGCTTTCATAGATAAATATATGTTTGCCATCGTTTCGATTCTTGGAGTCAAGGAATGTGCAAAATTGTATCAAAATTAGCCGATAGGAAAAGTGCAAAAATATTAGTTATGGAATGGTAAAGTGGTACTTGCTTTTGGTCACAATTTTAAAAACTTATGGAGACTTTATATTTTCACAGTTTGAACGGAATCTACCATCTACTTTCTAAGATAATCCACAAAATATTTAGATTGTCTCTCTCTTATGAGAAACATCTCTTTTTGAAATTGAATTGAATTTGATAAGGTTTCCGCAGTATTGATGTTTTACGCTATGATTTTCGTAAAATAAAACATTTATAGAAATGTTTAAAAGCAGGCCGTGTCAAACTTGGGCAGCAATAAAACGTTACTGATGCTGAATTGGAAGGTTATCCTTTAACGAGAATTTCAAACATTTAGCAAGAAAGGCGAAGGTTTAATTGAATGGAAGCCAGTCTACGAACAGTCCAGTTCCGTTGCTACTAGACGTGTTATCTGTAGTTGTTTGGCCAGCAATTGGAGAGAAACTTAAAAAAAAATTCTTTCAACTGTCGCGTTGGTAACACCTTAAATTCATATGGTTTTACGATAATAATAATAAAAAAAGTGGGTTGACCCTGCACTTTATACGCAACGCTGTCTGGAATTCATAAAGGATTATGTTCGGCACTAGTTAGGCCACCTGAGAACAAGGCGCTACGAACATGTAAAACAGGAAAATTAAACGGATCAAGTCAGTCAAACAAGCCCACTCAATTAGTTCATAGATCTTTTCCCTGCCCCTCTGACAACGTTGCCCCTCCTCCCATACCTCACCTCATCGCTCGATAAGTTCTTGGCAGTGACGAAACAAGCATTTTCATTTCTTTTTCGTTGTTGGCCCTTTGCTCCGCCGTCACCGGTCCGATTTACAAAAAATAAAGATTTTTCACCTTGTGTGAAAATTTCATCTAAATCCGAGCAGTACTTGACAGGGATCTGCGTGATTTACATTTCATATAACATTGCGCTATTACAATACTTTTTCGCCAGTGGTATCGGAAGTAAAAGGTTTTTTCATGAGTAATATGTTCGTTAATTTTGAGAAATTAAATGGAATATTTCCTATCTACACCCCTACAACGCAATATATTGTCTACACCTGTGGTCTACCTTGCGAACGGCGTTGTGTGATCCGGGCACCTTAATTGTTTTAAGGTTTGCCAATTAATGTTTTCTGTAGTGTGTACTTCATTTTAGCGTTGCTAATTTCATGGTAATTAGCTGTTGTCTTAATTGGAATTATGAACAGCATGTTAAAGGAAACTGTAAGCAGGAAGTCTCCTGTAGTTGAGCTGCTGCTGGCACATTTTAATTTCCTTTCTTGTAGCGGCGGGTAATGATTTGTGCGCTACAGACTCGCCTATTATATACGCGAATTAAGAGAGGCGTTTGAATGTACCGCGGTTCCATCGTACTTATTTTTTGAACGGGTCAAGTTGGCAAGCTGAAATCCGGGATAAAATTGATGCTTGGATACTATATTTTAACGCTAAAGAGGCAGTTGAAAATTTCAAGATGGCGTCTGTGCTGAATTTTGGGTCGCTTGGGAACAAGGCGTGATTTATTTGGGAAAAACGAATTCCTGTTCAAATCACTGAACGTAGGGACTTTTGAAAATGTTGTGAAATGTCGTACGCATTCAATTTACCTACCTAGGAAATGAGCTGGCCGGATGATAAATACGCAGGGGTTTTGAAAATTTTCAGGCCTTTGTAGGGTCAAATTTGCATTTCGTCTTCATCATTAGTTGATTCGGTATGCTGGTGACAGCCAGATCGTGTCTCTCTGACACGAATAGGGAAACGAATGTGAACCAAATACCGTAGGCCGATCGAATGAATGGGAGTCATGCTATGCAGTTAGACGGAGATACCTCCAATTTGCATAACATACTAATTGCTATCTCGTGAGATTTCTAACATTCTTTTAACGATGTACACGTGCCGCGATATGTGTTGACGGCCGTTTCATAACATGTGGGATAGTAAGGAAACTACATTCGAGCATAACGTTCACTCGGCAGTTCACTGCTTCGGAAATGACATGTTTTCTATGACGTAGGCGAGGATGCAAATCACCCCTGTGGATGGTATAAAATATGGAAATGGTAACCAGAGCTGTTTTCCAGCCAACATCGCAATTGGGTTTGAAGCGTACGGGCTTTAAAATCGGAGCCTTCACACCCGAGATGACGACTGGAACATAATAAAAAGTTGTTCTAACTTGTATTTGTCATTACTGTCAATGTCGCAGCTGAGGGCTATTTCCTTTGCTGATATAATTTTAGTTTCTATTTGCTTGGCTTCCATTCGTATTTTTTTTTTGTTTGAATACTGAGTTGATTCGCTCTTAACAAAATTTCATTTTCTATTCATTAGATTTTATAGGCAAATGTATTTTTGTATTTATAAGTGCCTTTCAATAATCGGCACTACTAGAACGAACAGGTATTTACATATTTATAACAAATTGAGAGCTTTGACATTTCATGGGTTTGAAGCTCCAACGAATAGGCTGGCACTCGAGGGCAAGGGGAAGCAAATTTTGGCTACGTGCATCAAACCCAAACATCAACCTGTGGGTAGGTCATACCTTTGGCACACGAGTAGCCGCGAAAGATGGAACTGTAGATAAGTCTGTTGTACATCCTCCCCTTTTTGGCAACATTTATATTATTGCTGGTGAAAAGTCGAGGCAGTTTTCGCTGTGAATTGCCTGTCTCTGTGTACAATATATGTATGTGTGGAATTATTAATAAACCGAGCAATATTCAAATTTTTCTATAAGTAACTGACTATCCCGGTATACATCGACTCTGTTAAAAAAAATAATTATAACTATGAAACATTTAGATTTAATAACGGTTTTTGCCTTGTGTCCATCTCAAACACGAACAATTCATCACCCTCTATAAGCTTTGCTTTGACGACAGTCATTCCTTTACACTGCGTTCTGTCGACAACTTCCTCGGCTTTTTGTTACAAATGTTTTGCCGCAAAAAGCTTAACTCTCTCATTTCATTTCGGGGATTGTCCTGATGATATATGTTCGCCACTTTGGCCAGCTTTTTGTCGCTCGATATAGACCTTGGTCAGGTTATGGATATTTCTGCAAAAAAAAGATTCCTGGCGACTCCACATAGTTGTGATATTCCTACAGTTGATTTTACCACCAAATCTTGAACAGAAAATACATCACTTCTCGTCTTTTATGATTCAGTGGTTTCACATATATTTTTAGAAGAAATTGAAGAAGTGATTGTTTGTTATTATAGCGGTTCGTGGAGTCAATTTTTGAAACGAGTGAGATTATTGTTATATTGCCTTACCGGGAAGTGTATTCTTGAACACTGGTAGAAAAATCAGCCCCCGAGTCATTTTTTGAAGAAAAAGTGTACAAGTCCCGTCGTCGTCCGTCGGTTTTATCTCTAAGACGGAAATTAATTTTGCAATAAGTTGAAATATGAATAACCTAGCACATATTATTTTGCTGAAAGTGGATGCATTCCCAAACTTTAGTGTTAAACGTCAACAGCTGTCAGAACTTGGCATCATTCCCCAGGAAGTATCCTATCCTACTGTCATGGAGTCTATAAAAACGACCCCGAATCTTGACACCTGAGTGATATTTGGTTTCAGAGTGATATGCTCTCGAACTGCTCTAGGAAATTATGCATGGCAATACAACGTATTAGTACTGAGTACTACTAAGTTACTCAAAGCTATACCGAGTAACTCAAGGGAGTCACTGGAAAGCAGCTCAGGAGAACCAGTGGTGCTTTGACAGGGGTGCCATATTGGGGGAAAAGTAGCAATTCTGAGAGATTTTCGTGCTTGTTCTAAGGAACATCTGTCCGATCCACCTGGTAACAATACGCTTTGACAAATCCGACATATGAACTTATGAACACCAACAAACGAATTGTCATCCAGTTCAGTGTAAATTGACTCAACAATATTTGCTTATTTCTTGTAAATTCTTGGTATAAAGAGTCGGAAATCTGTGTTGGAAATTGTTACTGTTATTTAGTTATTTGGAAGAATTATTGAAAAGCCTCCCTTCATGCGGTGATGAGTTGTTCAACGAGGGGGAACAGTACATGTTAATTGTTTGGAATGCCTGCTATTTTTTAAAACGCAGATGAAAAAACTCACATCTTTGTCCAAAGACAGACAATATTTATGAGTTAGGTGATTGATAGAAGGATAAACAAAATATGCAGATGTAGTTTCAGGTGTATAGAAAAGGTAATGACTTGATTGTGATTTTTAACTATGAAAACAGAAGATATTAGTAAAACCTGTAAGTTGGCATCTAGCTAACTAGCTTTTGAAGTCCTACGGGAGAGATTTGACGATTTAGTTTAATATAAGTCTGTGCCCAAGTCAGTTTAAAATGTTTACCATCAGATACCCTGCGTATGCGCAGTGGCTGGTACACACTCTGATCACTCAGCCCTCAGCCAGGCGTCAAGTTTTGGGGTCGCTTTTCTCATTGCGCAGGTAATACAGTCATATTAATGAAGTACTCGTATAGGGAAATAATATTGAAATTACCAAACTAGTTATTTTACATCATAAATAATTGAAAGTGAAAAATAAATAAAAAAATATATTTTTAAAAAATAAGCTCTTATTTAGCTGTTATTAAAGTGAATACAAAATTTACATTATTTTCCGATTGGAGATATTTAACTATAATGAAGCTCCTTCATCTCAAGTTTTCAAATAAAAGCGTTCACGTTTTGACAGCATGATGGAAAAGTTTTTATTACGTGAGATGATGGAGCCCATTATCGTTTAAATATTTCCAATCGGTAATAAAATTAAATTTTCATTTTAGTTTATTAACAGCTAAATAAAAGGTTGCTTTTATTAACGCATTTTTATTCGAGTTGCGCTTCACCACCGATGGTAATAACACAGAATATCACTTGACATATTTTCCGGTGAATTCTGTACTTAACATAATATCTAAATAAAATATGTATTTCGTGTTTTCTCACAATTATTTTGTTTTGGGAGTGGTCCCATCTCGTTGTAGGCAGCTTTTAGGCGATATCTGACCTTTAACCCACATACATACACAACGTGGTATTCTAACAAGCTGGCAAACCACCTCTCGGCACGACCGCTACTCGGCTAGTCCATCCGGTAACAGCTTACGAGTATAATTCACGTAGCTAGGTGTGTCTGTGGCGCACAAATCATTACCAAGCCGTACTACGAGAAAGGAAATTAAGAGAAGCGTTTAAGCGCGTCATGGACAATCTCCATAACAGTTTTACCAATAGCAAGGGTAACGATCGACCTCTTTTGCGAATTCCTCTGAATATTGTCCCAAGTTTTACCAGATTTAGACCTAATACTCCAGAAATAGGATTTTCCAGTCTTATTTCTTCCGGTTCAAGCATAGTAAGCCCCGCTACACGAGGTGTGGCAGAAAAGTAATGAGATTGATTTTTTAATTAGCAAAATTTCAATCTTCTTCAAATATCACTACTATCCCCTTCAAAGTAGTTTCCTTGGGTAAATATGGAGACGTTGATCTCACTCTTGGTAGTGGTAGCTGAAAATTTTCAACCGCTGTGGCCTTCAGCATGTCCGTCACACTGTTTCAAACGTTTTGTAAGCTCCCTAAATAATGTCCTTGCAGGACATTTTTCAGTTTCGGAAAAAAGCAAAAAGTCACACGGTCTGAGATATGGTGAATATGGAGGCTGGGAAACCACAGGAATGCATTTTGAGGACAAACATTCTGCGACGGAGATTGCAGTGTGACATGGGGTGTTGATGATGGAGTATCCGCTGTCTGGTCTAGAAAAGAATGTGAAACAAATTCTTTTGGACGATTCCCTTCCTGTCACAAAAAAATCAGCATTGATTTGATCTTGGGTATGCCCATTCGAGCTTTCTTTGCTCGACGAAACCTCACTGTGTGCCGTCCTGACTTTGCCTCTTGGTCCCAGGATCGCTCTGAAACATCCAGGAGTCCAGTGATCACACGATTAAAGATATCTTGGTCATAGGCGAAGATCAAGACACTTTTTCGATTGTTCTGCCTAGTTGTGAGGTTTTTTGGCATCATTTTGGCACAGATGTTTCGCAAATGTTCAGTCAACATTGGGTGAACGGTAAATCTGTTCAAATGTAAGTGCTCACTCAATATTCTTAATGCCAAACGACGGTCTGATTTTCGAAGATGCAGGACACCCAAAACGCCGTTCATCTTCAACCCCCATGATGCGAAGGTGACGTCTTAGCATATTGTGACTAGTCCAACTAACAATTGCGCGTTATTCCTATTTAAAGACGGAGGTACTTCTACAGGGTGACTTCGAAGTTGAGTCATTTATTTTAATAGTGAGTAGATCTGATCAAAAGAAATGTTTTTTTCCTTTACCATTTTTCTGGTAAAATTAAAGTAACAAAGTTATAGCCCTTTGGAAGTTTGAGTACCGCCCTGTCTCAATAATAATATTATGTGCTCGTGTTTGGCGACAACGGATATAATCCGCCGTATCGGTTCATCGCGTCGGAAACAAAAAAGCGAAAGAATTTCTAACGATGTTTTTACAATTATTTTATTCATTTGTATACAGTCAGTGTCAGTGAATAGTGTGTTGCGTGGCTCAAACGAAATAAAAAATGGCACATGTTTATGCGGATCGGTTTCCCAATCGAGTGCAACCAAGCCCTCGTGCCTTTGTTAATGTAGTACAACGGGCTCGTGAATCAGGTGACTTAAGACCTCACAGGGGACCTCACGATCAAATACAGGTCCGCACTGAAATACTTGTCGGAGGATACTTTATAAAACAAGGTAAACATTTTTTTTTAATTTTTTTTTATTTTTACACACATATTTTGGTTTATCTTCCTTTTACAATCATTATCTGAAAATTAATGACTCAACTTCAAAGTCCACAGAGAGTGTTGATATTGAATCTACTCTTCCATGATAGTTCTAATTTCTTTTTGCAGATAATCCGAGAACCAGTTTGGGGTCCGAAGACTGTTCAAGTCATTTTTGGGGTTTTGCAGTCACACGGCTCGAAAACGAGTAACCTCAGTAACAGTTTCCGAGTACCTTTTTTGTTCAGAATATTCCGCGAAATTAGGAAAAAAATAGTCGGAGCAAAAGAAACTTATTTTGTAATTACTTAAGAGGGGAGGGGATTAAATAACGGACCAAAAAGTGGTCCGGTAAGATCCGGATTATTATTTTTTGATCTCTGTTCATAAGGTGGAGTCCTACAGTTTGCAAGCTCAGTTCCAGGCAGCGCCTGGTCTACATCCTCTAGCAATATTTCTACACTATCTGCTTCAGTTATCCATTAATAGGGCCCATGTCTTCATATAAACATAAGAATATAGATGTACTTATTGCAAAATAAAAAAATTGCAAAATTTTCGTGAGTTCGCAGCTGTCAGTTTTGAACAAATCGGCATCGACTAAATTGAACGAACCAAGATCAGCGAGCATTGTGCTCCAGATGATGTGTTTACCAGTTCGAGTCGTGAATGGTGCCCATGAAAAGTCAACGTTGAAATCATGGCTAATCGTTCAGCCTGAATTGTTGGCTGCAGCGTTTATTTTAGCTTCGATTTGGGTCAAGTGCGTAGTTAAGTGTGTCACACCTGTTTGAGGAAAAAGACCGCGCACGCCTTCGATTCGTAAATATAAACCATATGTATTTAATTGGTGAATTAAACGATGATTAGGTTTTAGCATAGCATTATGGCGACTGCTTTATTTTCACTTTTGTCATGACGCAAACAACTTTCCTGAGATTTTGCACGTTTTGCCAAAGAT